GTAAAAGATCATAGCTGCTTGTTCATAATAAAGCATCCATTGAGTGTTTTGGCTTATGACTAAGTTTCAATGGCCAATTTTTTGCCTCTAGGCATTCCCGCAAAAGGTGGGAAAGGTTTGTGCACAGCGAGAACCAGCACCTAGTCAGTACAGAGGCTCTAGACTTCCTTGACAAACTGCTGCGTTACGACCATCAAGCCCGCCTCACGGCCAGAGAGGCCATGGATCATCCTTACTTCTGTAAGTCTTGTATTTCCTGTCTCTGCATGTATTGCTTTTTTTGTTTGTTTGTTTTTGTTTTTTTAACATTTTGTGGTTGCTTACATACATGTTTGTTCTCAGATCCCATCGTAAAAGATCAGGGAAGGGGGGCCACTCCTGGAGGGATGGCTGCCAGCTCCACTCCAGTCAGCTCCTCAAGTATGATGGCCGGTGAGTAATCTTGTTCAAAGTGGCATGCACTTACAGACAACAGTCTTGCTAGCTGCACGATGCTTTTGCAAAGAATTATCTAGAAGATAGATGACCTCTGTTAGATATCTATAATTAGCCCTTTACTGTAAAGTAGAGGTGTGACTTTGTTGACTTTTTTTTTTTTTTTTTGAAGGAGCACCTGACAGTGGCTGCAGTTAAAGTTATGCACTGGTGTTAAAAAACATTAATAAAGTACATCACCGTTTAGAGCTGTGATTTTCTGATTAGTAATGTGGCAACATTTCTTATAGATTGCATCAGGTAACTTTGGTGCATAATAATATCAGCTGCAGCTGCGTTTAAGGCATGCTCTGCAGAAGTTGCTCATATTTATTTTTCTCAGAATGGCACCTGGACAGCTTCACACTTTTTCCTTTTGAAAATAGAAAAGTTCAGTTGAAACAAATTGAAGCAACCTAACAGCATGCGTGTGTACGAAGATGTGTGCTGATTGTATATTATAACTATGGAACATTTTGAAAACACCTGTATTATTCTAGCTGGCTTGAACTTTGTGATTATGAATATTTTTACTTGTGGTGTAAGATCCAGCCCATCGTGATGCCCGTTCTTTGATCTCCCTCCTTTCTGTAATTGTGCATTTTCCGGGTGATTAATGATCCTTCTTCCTTTCCTAGGCATCACCTCAATGTCCTCCACACAGCCCATGGCTAACATTGCTGGATCACCCGTCATCCCCGCCCCCAACACCCTGGCCACACAAGTCCCTGCGGCCACCGGGGCCCAGCCCTGAAGCCACTTCCTCACCCGTGTTTGTGTCCCACGGCCATGACCCACGTAGCTCTCACTACGACCCAGGGCCATGGCTCCCCCTTTTATGTTGGAAAAATAACAAAGAAGATTTAAATTGCTTTTCACATTCAGTTCTATTTTGACACCTGGACTTGACAGAAATGTATTGTTGCACCTGTCAGAATTATTAGAAATTAATTTGGGTGTGTTACTTGACAATGCTATTGTCTAGAAATCCTAATGAGATGTAGACCTGAAGAGAATGGATAATAAAAATTTATTTTGTATGTTTCAAATATACAGTCTTGCTCTTGAAACTGTTTGACGGGGATCCTGCTGTATTACACTGTGAACCTTTGACACGACTTCACGAAACAAGAGTCAGGAATCTGGCGCGCCCCACCCAACAGCGCTCGCTGGTCGCACACGATGTAATGTGCAGGAGTTGTAGGTGTTTTGAAGTTGTTAGACGCTATCGTTCTTTAATTGGACTTTTTGTAGATATTCTACAGTTACTGTCAGGTTGCATGCACCCAATGCTGAGTTTCACAGGGTCAATAGTTTGCCAATTTTATGTTACTTCACTTCTGTATGTGTATGTATGTGTTCATGTTTGTTTTTTATGAAGTCTCTTACACATGATTTTGATTATAGACAATTTTGTAACTTTTTTGTTTTATGTTGGGAGGGGTCATCACCTACAGAAAACAACTTCAAAAATAAACAATTTAAACAGGGTTTTGCAGGCCCTACATGTTATTGAATATACACCAGTACATCAGGCTGGTCATGTAGGTATGTGTCAGTGAATGGAAACACCATAGTCATTGTTTACTGCAAGAAAAGTTTACTTGAATGAATATTTACACCTAATATTAGGTTTCCTTTAGATGGACTAGTGGATATAGGTGTGTTTTTAGAATGTAAGGGTTCGAAATACCTGACGGCAACCTCTGTGTGGGAGAGAACAAATGAATACATATGTAATCGCTCACACACACCCCTTGAGATTATTTCCATATTATATTTTTCTTATCATTTGTCAGATAAAATTCTCAGAACCAGGTAGAGCTGTTCGAGCTTGTCGAGGACCACGCCCCAGTGCAAGCGTGGAATAAAACAATGAATTAGGCTGGGATTTCTGAATATCGCAGGCCATTCTGTTCATGAAAAAAAAGAAAAAACATCACCAGGCTGCTAATTTTGGAAGCTAACCCCATGTTTTTATAACTGGCAATATCTTATTTTTAATATATGATTATTGTGGCTAAAAGAAGTCACTTTAGTCATAGTTTGGGTAGCTGTTATTAAAAAAAAAGAAGGAAAAATAGAGAAATAGTCCTTTTTTTCTGTCCAGTTACACTGAAAATGTGAATGAGTGGCGATAGAAGGCTTTTAAATGGTTATCTTCACTACTGGTTCAAAAAGAGCCTAATGCTGAAACCTTGCATTGGAAGGAAGGTTGTCCAGATTACAAAAGCAAACATTAGTCTCCAAACTGTGGTGTGAGTGCAGATTTTTCAAAGGCCAGGAAGAGAGAGAAGTTTAGCAAGCCATTAGTGCAGGGAGCATGGAGAAAGAGAGTCACACCTGATTTATGAATTCAGAGGGGTCTGTCAACTCGCTCCTTTTTGCTATGTCACTAGTTAAACTGATACTTCACAGCAGGCCCAAACTATCCTCAGGCTGCTCGGAGGCCACCACTTCCCCCGTGGACCTGAAAACCATAAAAACACTTCTCTACTTCCCTTTACCTACTACAAACTTGCTAAAAGCTATATATGAGATTTATTGAATAGCTGACCTTAAGAAACATTAGTAAAACTATCCAATGCCATAATTATACACAACTCATGTTCACATTACTGTTAATTAAGACTTCTGTGTGTTTGCTTGCTTGTTTTTAATTCTGTCTAAAACGTGGGAAGGACCTGCATTCACAGCCCTGATCATGCTGTAACCAACAGCAGCAAACCTGAGAGTGAGTCAGCATGACTTGCATAGTCACCGGCCACTTCATTAGGTACATCTTGCTTGTTCTGGGTTGAGCCCTTTTTTGTCTTAAAATTCTATATGGCATAGGTTCATTAAGGTACTGGAAACATTCCTCAGAGATTTTGCTTTGTGTTGACGTGAGAGCATCACGCAATTGCTGCAGATTTGTTGGCTGCACATCCGCGATGAGAATCTCCCATTCCGTCACATTAAGTTGCTTATTCATTTGAGATCTGGTGACTGTGGAGGCCATGTGAGTACAATGGACTCATTGTCATGTTCAAGAAACTGTTCGGCATGGTTTGAACTTTGTGGCACGGCACGTTATCCGGCTGGAAGCAGCCATCAGGAGATGGGCACGCTGTGGTCATAAAGGGATGGACATGGTCAGGTAGGCTGTGCCAGTTAAACAATGATTCGAAATGTGCCAAGCAAACATCCCCCACACCCTTACACCAGCAGCAGCCTGAACCGCCCATACAAGGCAGGATGGATCCATGCTTTCATGTTGATAATGCCATATTCTTTTCAGTTTCATGTGTTATACCAACAACTGATTAACTGCCAGAAATTGTGTTTTTTATGTGTAATCATTTAGCATATTTTAGTAAATAGACTGTAGTCAGCAGGATTTATGAAGAGTTTATATATAAAATAAAGAACGATCTGTTTAATCTTCATCACTCTGTGTGTTTGTAGCTGCATTACAATCAGTCCAATCTTCTTTTGGCTCATAAGATATCTTTGCAGAATGGTGAGGTTATACTTGTTGCAATTTCTACTGCAATCTTGGCCAGATCTTTCTTGAAAAAGACATTTTTAATGTCAATACACTTTTTAAACCTTCCCCCGTGCATTCAGCAATTTCGGTGACGGAAATTACTTCTTGGGACTGCACCTCTTCTTAGCTCACAGGCGTGGCAGCCAGTAGTGTAGATTTAGCCCATGTGCTTCAGTCTTCAACATGCTGTGTGTTGAGAAATGCTCTTCTGCATACTTTGGCTGAAACAGGCGTTTATTTGAGACACTCTCCTCTGACTTCTGAGCCATTTTCACCCAAAGAACTGCTCCTCACTGGGTAGTTTCTCTTTTACAAACCATCCTCTGTAAACTCTAGCGATGGTTGTGTGGGAAAATCCCAGCAGTTAGTGAAATAATCAGGCCAGCACCAAAAACCATGCCGCTTTCAGCCACTTAGATCACCTTTCTCCATCATTCTGATGCTCCGTTTCAACTTCAGCAGGTCATCTTTACCAGGTCTACATTTCTAAACGCACTGAGTTGCTGCCATGTGACTTGCTCATTAGCTGTTAACAAGGGGTTAAAAATGTGTATCTAATGAAGTGACCAGTGAGTACATATCCCCTTACAGAAAGTGAAATTTACTAAAAGATGATCCCATACAGGTGCACTGGATGTTCCCAGAGGGCTCACAAAGGTACATATTACACACAAAGGTGACTCCATTGCATGTGCAGAGTCAAGAGGCCAAATGTTAATCATGAGGCAACTCTGCTGGTAGAATGTGTTTAGAATATTAGGAACAAACCTGCAGGCTGTGTGCACTTCATCGTCTACTAAGGGCAAAACATGCAACATCTGTCAACTTTCAAAATACCCAACTTTCATGCGCACAAACAACATAGATCTGTCTTTTAGATGCTAACTCTTTGGATCTACAGCAAATTTACGTGTTTATCAAATTTAGAGATTCACAATGCGATATATATAAGTGATGCATTTCTTATTTCACATGGTAAGAAGCGGTATTTCGGATTGTCCTGAATGCAGCATTTCGGGAACGCCCCGCTGTTGCAGTTTTTAAGTCCGTTTGAAAACCTTTCCTCCTCCAGATTTCAAAATGGGAAAGCTGGCATACATTTCACTTTTTGTAGCTGCCTTGTCGGTGCTGTTAGGAGAGAGATTTATCAACCTCAGGTACTACAGCGTTCATGTCGAAGCACTTTTGTGCGCTCGGACTGTTTCAAAATAACTTTTTTTATGCAAACTCTGCAGGAAAAGGTGCCTTGCTACTAGAGAGATCATCCCGAAACACCTCCCCAACTGTGTTGCACTCAAAAATCTGGGTAAGCCAACATGCAAGAAAATGCAGCCGATACTTTGATGCAGACTAGAAACCAGAAAAATTAACAATATGTGGATATTGTGCTTTTAGATTATGGATCGGAGGATATAACGATCCTGGAAAACGGGCTTGCCCTTATCAGCACTGTAAGTTGTTTTTGCTGTAAAGCAGCCAAATCTCCACCTCTTAGGTTAACAGCCTTAAAGCCCATAGCAATCGTGTGTAATAAGAATGTTAATAACATCAGGAATTTATAATGTAGCAAGTGTTATTACACTTTGTATAATTACAGTATTTTTCATGCTTTGTGTGTGCAGGGTCTGAAGTTTCCTGGACTGCCTTCCTCAGATGTGCCTGGAAAGATATTTCTGCTTGATCTACAGGATTCTCAGATGAAACCAGTAGAGCTCCGCATGCCAAGGAACTTTGATCTTGACTCTTTCAACCCTCATGGCATCAGTGTATACATCGATCCAAGTGGTAAACAACCCTACAGTTCATATGCATTTGCACACATCGCATGCAAGTGTCCACAGAATGGCATCTGGAAGGCAAAAAGTCTGATGTCCTCGATTTGAGTAAACTTTGCAATTTATTGCTCAACTTAGGGCACTGAGGACAATGTTTACTTTTTTCTTTTGCTTGTGTGTGCTTGCCAAGCATGTGGTCAAACCTGCTGTGATACTTACAGGTGGTACCATGTAAGTACAGTAAGAATAGCCAGGCTTTTCATGAGTGTGTTTGCAAAGCCTAGTGATAATTTTCTTTTTATTTAATTTCAAGTTCTGCATGCTCCTCAACTTTGACACAGTCACACACACACGCCTTATAGACATTATTATTGTTCTCTGCCTTTCTTATTGTTTTTTCCAGATAGCACAGTCTACCTGTTTGTTGTCAATCATCCTCAACATAAAAGCCAAGTGGAGCTATTCAAGTTTGTGGAGGAGGACCGTGCCCTAGAGCACCTGAAAACCATTAAACATGAACTTCTCTACAGGTAAAGTAATATGACAAATTTCTGTTATAAATGACATTTGAGATTTACTGAATAGTCAGCCTTAAACAATATTTGTGCGACCATCTCATGTCATAATATAGTTCCATACAAATCATGCGCATGTTAATGTATAATAACACGACAAAACATTTTTTGTTTCCTTTCTATTCTAGCGTAAATGATATTGTTGCAGTGGGAGTGGATAGCTTCTATGCAACAAATGATCACTATTTTAACCAAGAAATCCTGAAAGTATTTGTGGAGCCTTTACTGCCTCTGACGTGGGCTAATGTTGTGTACTATAGTACTGAGGAGGTAAAAGTGGTCTCTGAGGGTTATTTCTTTGCAAATGGAATCAACATGTCACCAGACAAAAGGTAAGAATGATCACGAGGCCCTTGCACACGGTTACATATGTTTCAAATATCTGAATGTCTTTATTTTAACGTTCTCTCTTTTATAGGTATATTTATGTCGTAGAATTTTTTGATCAAAAAGTGCACGTGTTGGAGCGGAAAGAAGACAATTCATTGGCCAACGTCAAGGTAGCTAATAAAACTGACTTACCACAACAGTGTGGAATTGCTTTTTTGACAGTTTAAAAAAAAAATTGAAATCCATTGAAAAATACTTTGATAATTTATCAACATTTTTTAAATAATATTGCTATATTTACAAAGTCCCTTTCAGTTCTCTTGCCACAAGGGATTCGTGTCTGTGGCTTGAATTGAACTAAGGCTGAACCATAAATTAATTATGGTCATGATAAAATCATTACATAAAAATTCAATTTAAAAAAAAGTGTTTTATTTTTTGTTGTTGTTGTTGTTGTTGTTGTTTTTAATTGAACCTTCTAACTGATTTATTTAAAAATTAATATAAATTTGCATATATGAGTTTTAACTTGAATCATTTTGGCATATCCAGCATTTTTCCCCCAAATTATTGCTTAAAAATTTATCGTGCTATTTATTTAGTCTAAAAAAAGTCATGTATTAAATATATCTACATTTGGTGTTAAAAGAAAATACAAACGCTGAATATGCTCACTGCAAGTACTTGCAGAGTTAAAGTCTTTTATTTATATATATATATATATAGTGTGTGTGTGTAATTGCAGTCTTTCGTTTCACATTTAACCAGTCTGTTGCTGTGGGTACACTCTGTGACAACGTCGAGGTTGACCCTGAAAATGGTGACCTTTGGTTAGGCTGTCACCCTAATGCATGGAAGGCTCTCATGTTTGACCCCAAAGACCCACCAGGATCAGAGGTCTGGTGTTTCTTCTTATTTGTGTTTCTTTTCTCACTATATAACAGCACATGCACCCATTTGTAGAGATTGATCTGATTATGTTTAACATCTTATGATTTCGTATGTTTGCAGATCATCCGTATCCAGAATGTTCATTCTGATCAGCCTGTGGTTACACAGGTGTATGCAGACAATGGACATGTGATCATGGGCTCTTCAGTAGCCGCTTCGTATGGAGGGAAGTTGCTCATTGGCTCTGTGTTCCACAAAGCCTTGTGCTGTGATTTACAGTAGACAATGAAAGCAAACACTGCCACTCACTTTAACACATGAGAGGGGGAAAAAAAAAATCTCAATTCAGGTGTTTAAAAGGACAAAAAAAAAGGGAAAACAAATATTTGTATCTGTTCTCAACTGGGACAGTTTATACTGCACTGCGTTCAGCCTACAAAAGTGGTATTAGACACAGAAATGACTGAACTATCAAGATATTTGCTTCACTGTTAAATAATTGGAACAATTATGAAAATAATGTTTTTAATTTGATAATTTGTGACTGTCTGTATTTGGCTTTAAATAAAAGGTGAAATGTGAACTTTAATAAATAGATTTGTTGTGGTTCCACAATGAAGTTGTCCACTGTGTCCCCAGTAAGTAAATGCACACTTGTCAACCGGGGGGGGGCGAGGAATGTTATTTGATCCATCACCCTTTTCACAATCATCCTCACCCATGAGGCAAGATCTGGCTTGGAGCTCCAGAGCGAGGGCGATTGATGGTCATTTTATATTTCTTCCATCTACAAATAACAACACCAACACTTGTCACCTTCTTGCTGATTGGATGGAATTAAAGAAATTGATTCTGTGGACAGGTGTGCTTTTTGTGATTGATTGCTTGATTGAGTGTTTGTGCCATATGGGCATGCAACCATTCAGTGGGAGCCAGAATTCTTCCTGGGTTTTAGGGGATCATATACGTTTTTCACTCAATGACGTGCAGGTCAGTTTTAAAGTTGTATGTAGTGTGGGGTTTTTTAGTTTTGGGGTTTTTTTGGGGGGGGGGCATAGACTGTTTATGCCTTTGTAAGTGACAGAACTTAGGAATTCAGCAGGGAATCACATAACTGTTTCTCCCACTGTATACACACTGCCCCCAAAATAAAGAAAGAGATAAAGGAACACCTTTTAATTAGATTATAGCATCACATCGCTTCTGGGATATTGATTAGGTCTTGTTAATGAGATTAAGAACAGGTGCACTAGATGGACAACAGTAACTAAACTTCATGAGGGTGGCCTGAGGGCCCGACGTACTCTAGGGGAGGGGGGATCCCTCAGGACACCATCCATCATCTCATTAGCAGGATGTCCCAACATTGTCTATACTGATATAGATTTCACAAAGTTGTCCTTAGGCTTCTCGGTTATTCTCTCAGAAAGTTAATGAACATGATTGGTATTCTGAGTACTGCATTTCATAAATTGTGCTTGTGTGTTGATATTGTATTATACTTTAATTTGTCCACACATAATATATTGTAATAGTGTTTGGGGTGCTGTGTCTTCATAAAATTATATTAATTCAAAAGACATTTTTGCAGATAATGAATTTTTCAAATAGACTTTCCTCTTTTTGTAAAATACTAAATCTTGACAACATTTAATGTGAATAAATATTGCATATCTCTTTTTATGTATAAGTATGTATATTTAATTGGTGATTTACTAGTTGTTTTGCAACATTTCTTTTATGTCTTTTTCAGATGTACATACTTACTAAACAAGACACCATGGTGATTTTTATTTACCCTTATGCAGAAAGCAAAATACACATCAATATTGAGAACCTCTTTATTGGAACAAACTATCACCAGTTCTTCAGTTCACAACTGCATTTTATTCTTTCAAAAACAATTAAAAACTATGTTTATTTCTAATAGCACAAATATATATTTATTATATTTGTAAATGATTGTATGTAACTTGTCTGTTCCAGCTGCTTACCTGTTCATGTTATAGGGAAGGTGGTTGTTCTTATTCTTAAACTGTACATTATTGTTGTTGTTGATTCTATGTGTGTGCAAATAAAACGAAACAGAAAAAAAATACACCATGATATTTTTCCAACTGAGATTTGATGGTAGCAGTGCACACGTACGTGCGGTGTGTTCGGATACAGTGTAGCTTTTAAGTTGTGCTGCATAAATAATCCATTATTCATATACCGTGTGTAGCTATGCATTTATATTCACTAAACTTTGTTTCTTTCTTTGGGCAAATATTTTATGTTATAAATACCCTAAAATTAATGCTACCTTGACTTGTTACAAGGAACAACAACAACAAAAAAGATCCATGTTTTCTTTTCTTTCTTTTCTTTTTTTTTTTTTAGTCTTAGCAGCTGTTTCTAATTTTAACAGATCAAACTAATTTTAGCACTCTGTCTCCATCTTTGGGGCAGTTGTGTTAATGCACATTGAAAATCATGGCACTTCCATAGGTAACCCCTGACACTTATAAACATGGCTGCCATGAAGAAAGTACTACTTGCTGTTGCTGTTGCTGCCTTTGCAGTTTTCAGTGGACACAGGTTCCTTAAACTGAAGTAAGTTCTGTTCCGACAAGAAAATCTGACGTCATATGTCGCATTAAATTTGGGGATTGGCAGCACAGATTGTAAATGTTCACAGCTGTTGTTTGCTAAAGCACGTTGAAGTGTGGCCAATGTTTTCATGGAAAGACTTAACAAATGTATCCTTGGGCTTCTCGAGCAGACTTTCAAACTGTAGTACTGATTTGTACTGCTTCTTTGTAATGGCTCTGTAAACTTCTTCCGCAGGGAAATCATGCTTGCTTCCAGAGAGATTCCAGTGAAACACCTCAGCTGTCATTATTTGCAGAATATTGGTATGTAATCTTTGTATTCATGCTCATATCTTCGTTCTGGGGTTTGCATCGTGAAAATCACGTTTAAACTGCGTTTAACATGTGGCATTAGCTGAAGGGTCTGAAGTTCACACAACTGTCTGTAGAGCATGCGTCACCAAGGCATGACATAAGACTGTGCTCTCTGTAAGGACTGAGAAGGGGAAATATATTTATTGATTTGTTTGTTTGTACAGAATATGGGGCAGAGGATATCACAATACTGAAAGATGGACTGGCCTTCATGAGTACGGTATGTTATTAATTTCATGGGCAATTGTTTGTGTGATGACCTCTTGAGCAAAGCCCCACATTTAGAAAAGTTTCTAACATGTAGTGTTCACGGCTCAGGGGTTGAAGTTTCCTGGATTACATTCGTTTTCTGATGAACCAGGGAAAATGTATGTTTTGGATCTGCTGCACCCGAAACCCACTCCAGTGGAGCTGCAAATCAGCGGAGAACTGGACCTCAGCTCGTTCAACCCACATGGCATTAGTGCATACACTGATGAAGCAGGTGAATAATGGCATCAAATTTGTTATTATTTTAAGTAACAGAAATGTATTCGGGTTGTTTTTTTCCATTGTACCCTTATGCACGCATGCATAGGTTTGTAAAGTTAGAAGGGCTGATGTTTTTTTTTTTTTTGCACACCCACGTGCTACACACAGTACTTGTATTTACATAAGGCAGATATACAATGTAACACAGCTTTTAACTGCAGCTAATTTTGTGTAATATTGTTGTTTCTCTGGAAAGTCTGTGAGCCATGTTGTTTGTCGTCTTTTTTTTTTTTTTTTTTTTTGTTTTGATCATTCTCATTTGGAAATGAGATCGCACATAAGTATGAAGGGAGGGGTATTTTTTGGTATGCCAGTAATTCTGGACTAAATGACATGAATGGGTCTTTGAGTGGTGACTGTGCATTCTGTCATAGTACATTTAGGGCAGTATACCTTACACTGTTACTGTGACTTATAAATGAACTAAAGTCGTCTTGGTTAAGTCTCTACAAGCTTTGCACATGTAGGTTTTGGAAATGTATCTAATTTTCCAAATGGATCTTCCCAGACTTGTTCAGGAACACGTCTGAAGCTCCTCTAGTATTGTCTTGGCTGTAGTCTTTGGTTCTTCATGCTGAAGGTTCTCCATGGCCATAGGCTTAGGACTTTTGTACCTTCATCCAAGTTTTCTTCAAGGACTTGCCCCTTGCTTCTGAACAACACCCCCTATAGCATGATACTGCTAATATCTTTCACTGGTATTAGCGTGGTGATGTTCACCGTAGTGTCTAGTATAAATTTTGGATTCATCTGGCTAGTGATTATGTGTTGCATATCCATCTGCTTTATGAAACATCCTATTGTGTGGACCAGTCTTTTCTGGAATATTGTCTAAAATGAGCAGAATACTTTGTATCAACAGTGTGAGATGCCAAAGGTTAAAGGCCAGTGACAGTGAAATGCATAAAGAAATTTGGGGCCTTATGTTTACAGCTAAGGAAAACAATAATTTTAATTAATGTAATGATGCAAATATGATCAGTATTTTCGTTGCCTTTATTCATTTTACTTGATAACAGGTTTTGGACAAATGAATAAGAGGAGGCAGTTACATTACAGTGTCCTTGATACACAGCTGAGATTTTCCTATATGTGCCAAAAACATCTCTGTGTACTAAAAGTGAGTTTTGTGAGGCTTTGATATTTTGTCTGCATTTAGCTTGTCCCCTTACTTAAGCATAAGTTCCTGTTGGGTCAGGCTATAAAAAAGTAAATTGCTCCTCACTGCTTTAGGGAAGGAAAGAAGGTGACAATTTACTATGAGTCTGCAGCCTAAATTGGTGTATGTGCGTGTCTGCTTTATTTTTATTTTTATTTTTTTAAACAATAACAAGCTATTTTAGTTGTTTATTTCCCTGAGCACCAACATGACTTAAACACTAAGGGAAACCTACGTTTCCTCCACACAGCAGGGTTGACAAGACTTTTCTTCTTCTCTGCAGATGACTCTGTGTACCTGTTTGTGGTCAATCACCCTCATCACAACAGCCAAGTAGAGATCTTTCGTTATGTTGAGGAAGACACACTCGTGCACATAAAAACCATCACCCACCCCTTACTCCACAGGTATGAACTGTATGAGAAACCTTTTAATGCCTTATTTATTGGGGTGGCTGTGGCTCATCCCATCATGTAAAGCCTGTGTGCCAAATGTCCTTGGGCATGATACTAACCCCAAGCTGCTCTCCGATGCATCCATCAGAGCATGAATGTATGCAAATGTTAGATAAAAAGCATAGGGGGGAAAAAAGTGCTTGTGTAACCGAGGCACGTTTTATAAAACGCTTTGTGTGCTTGTTGTTCCATGTTTTTCAGTGTGAATGACATTGTTGCAGTCGGAGTGGAGAGCTTCTACGCCACAAATGACCGCTACTTTCACAGTGATGCACTTCTGCTTATTACTGTCTTTTTGGACTTAACCTGGTGTGACGTGGTGTTCTACAGTCCACACGAAGTGAGGGTGGTGGCCGATGGTCTGCGGTCCCCAAACGGCATAAACATATCTCCTGACAAAAGGTTAATCTCAGTTCCTTCCACCAATCAGTGATCATGTATGTGTTGATTGAGTTAAATGTCTGTTTTATTTCAGACAGAAATACAACAGAAATAACAGAATACATTGTAAATTAAGTGAAGACATCGAATTGTCATCCACATCTCTATATAAAACACAATTTAGATGCTTGAAAAGGAGTGGGATGAGATTTACAGTTTGTTATTGTAACATGATTTTTATTTTATTTTATTTTTTAAACACAGGTACATATACGTTTCGGATATTATGGATCATGACATAGATGTTTTTGAAAGGCAAGAAGGGGAACAATTGAGGTACATCAAGGTAATAGTGTTGTGTATTCTAAAGTCAGAAAAAACAAAAACAAAACAACAACCCAAAACTCTCATATCTGCGTGCTAAATGTGAAGCTAAGCCCAGCCTAGTGTTGCAGTTTTTACCCCTCAGCCATGAGAGGTTGAGGGGGTATTGTCATCACCCCGTCCTGTGGGCAGAGTGGATGCCCAAGTGGAGAATGAGGTGACGTACGATACCTTAGGTGAATCTAGTAAAAACGAGTTTAAATCTCAATGACCTCGAGGTCAAAGATGAACTTTCCTGTAGCCTAGAATTTTAAAAATGTATACCATAGGTACATCTGCTGAGGGGTATCAGTGACAGCTGCCTGTACATTTTTCATAATACTGTAGCTTCATATTTAACATGTAGACATAAAAGTAGCACTAATCGTTTGAATTCTGCTGAATAAGAAAGAAGTTCTGTTGCAAGAAGAAAAAAGAAAAGAAGGTTGGATTGTTGCTTTAACGTCATACACAAGGACAGAATAATCAGGTTTCATTTACAGCATGTAAACAACATGTGATGCTTTCAGTCTGTAGCTGTTGGATCACTTTGTGACAACATCGAGGTGGACCACAAGACAGGTGACGTATGGCTGGGTTGTCACCCAAATGCCATGAAGTTGTCAAGCTATGATCCTGAAGATCCACCTGGCTCTGAGGTTAGTTTGTTTAAAAATAAAAGAAAAACATTGCAGCTAGATTTTTACCTATTCATTTTATGAATGTGTCCTTCAGGTGCTCCGGATCAAGAATATTCACTCAAAGCAGCCAGTGGTGAGCATGGAGTACGCGGATGATGGCCATGTCCTTATGGGCTCCAGTGTAGCAGCTCCTTATGAGGGAAAGTTGCTTATTGGCTCTGTTTTCCACAAAGCCTTATACTGTCTTCTAAAATAATGCCATTGATCACTGTTGCTTAATGAATACAAATGTTGTAAAGGGATGAAAGAATAAAAAAATAAAAAAATAAAAAAAAAGTAAACATGTTTTTTGCTATTTATAAAAAAATAGTGACCTTGTAAGACAGGAAACCATTCGACTGTCAGCTTTTGTTCCTGTAGATGCCATATGCAGTGTCATTTCCACATTTTGTTCTTTCGGTACATTAAAGCAGCATACGCCTTTGGACAATTCTTTTACCCTTTCTCATCATTTTCCAACAGCAATTCTTCTTCAGCCACCTTGGAAATCCTAAACCTAGTCTCCCCCCCATCAGGATGCTCTACAGTTTCCTCTTCTATTTTGGCAGGTCCACTGAGGGCAATATCACAATCTTCTGAATCAGCAGCACAGCTGTCCTTTTGTTCCTCGTCAGTTTCCACACGCACTTCAGGGTCCCCCATGCTTTCTTGCAATAACGGGAGCATCTCGTCTTTTGTGTCATTGTCCCCCTCGGCCTTTGCATTGAGGAATACTTCGCTGATACTGATCATACGTCTGCGCCTTGGAGAGTGCTCCAAGTTGTGGATAGAGGTGCCGTGGAGGTCACTGCAGCTCTTTGAGCGATTCATTTTGTCTGCTGGCGCTGGTTTGTGTCTTCTCATTCCAATCTCTTTTATGACAGTATTGTAGTCTTCCTCCTTTTCAGATAAGAAGCCAAAGATGTCAACAGCGTTGGGCTTTACATTTCCATGTGGCTTGTCCTCTAAAGACACTAGCTCCTCATGATAGAAGTTTCTGTGCCTGCGTTTTTGCCATTTTTTCTTTAGTACTTTGGAAGCGTCAACTACCATGTGGACATTCCAGCTGAAGAACAGGGACAGCCAAGCTAGGCCCATGCAAATCCATAATTCTTTACCTACTATGTAGAGGCGGGGGTAGTTTATGTCTGGATTTACGCCTAAAATGAGAGTTATGGGCTGAAATTACTTGGATATCCTCAATTCAGCAATTCAAATTGTGCCAAATGTAAAAACCTACCTGCCACATAATCTCCAAAGCCAACTGTTGTGAGTGTGATGAAAGAGAAGTAGAAACCTTCTAAGTAGGTCCATTGTTCCATGGACATGAAAACAAACGGCGGAATCACCAGATGCACCAACAGCCCCCATAGAAGGAACAAGGCTATACAGGTATACTGGACTTTTTTCTGACAAAACAGAGGGAAAAAAATATTATTTGACACTGAAACTTCATAATTTCAGATAAACACTAATTGTTAGTCAGACCTTACCACTGATATGCCTTTGTCTATCATCACCCCAGACAGACGCTTGGCCCGGTCTCCAAAGAATGAACCCAGCTCACTTATCCATACCAGACACAGAGGGATCCCACACAGACCATAAAGGATGCAGAAAATACGTCCACCTTTTGTCCTGGGGGCAATATTACCATAACCTGTAGATACAGTGAGAAAATATTCAATCACACCAGTCCATGATGTGATAAGTATTTTAGGAAGATTTTCCTCTTCTGTTTGTTCTATCAGGGTCATGGGGAGGGCTGAAGCCCATCCCAGCTACCACAGGGCGAGAGGCAGGGTACACCCAGGACACACTGCCAGTCTGTTGCAGGGCTAACACAGAAAAACAACCATAAACCCAACAATCATGCAACCCTCATGAGCAAGCACTTGGCAACAGCGGAAAGGAAACACCCCCTTTTAACAGGAAGAGCCTTCAGCAGAACCAGGTTCAGGGAGGAGCAGCCAACTGCTGTGACCGGTTGGGGGTGAAGGGAGGAAAATAGGACAAAAGAAACACTTTGGAAGAGAAGCACAGATCAATAAAAGCTAATGATTAAATCCAGGGTGGTGTATAAACACACAGTGAGTTAAAAGAAAAAAAGTGACTGAAGAAAAAAAATACCCTCAGTGTATCATGGGATGCCCCAAGCAGCCAAGCCCTGTTGCTGCATAGCTAAGGGAGTATTCATGGTCACCTGATCCAGCCTTATGATAAGCTTAAAAGGAAAAAAAAAACAACTTTCCTTTTTGATAAAGTGTAATCTAAGTGTAGGAAAAGTAGGGAGGGTGTCTGTCTCTCTGCTGCTTTATATATGGAAAACAAAGTCCTAGAAGACACTTGAACTAAAAAACAATGAGGATTAGGATTTACCGTCTCAGTTATGCTCTGGTTTCTCTTTATAACGTTCTTTATTGGACATTTTGCAGGAAAACTCCAGTGCACAAACATTTCAGATCCAAATCACGATAATTTCCCAACTTTTGGGACAAAGCATTTCCTGTTCTGAAACAGTCACAGCATCAGAGTACCCATAGCTTCATCCCTGTAGTAACTGTTGTGAAGCTTATAATGTGTCTTATAAACAAACAATGACAATTAGGCCCAGAGAAATGCAGCTTTTAGTGAAGAGGCATCGTGTTACATGAATATTATCCCAGCCTATCCAGCTTCGAATATAAGAGGCGGGGTACACCCTGGACACATTGCCTGCCTGTGGCAGGGCCAGACATGTTGTTAAAGCAAGTCGATTGGGCGTTCCTGAGCCAACCCTATTGTCAAAGAAATGGCAGCAACCAGAAGAAGAAGAAGAAGAAGAAGTGGATGCTATTACAACATGAACATGAAGTGTGTCAACTTCTGAGTCTTTCATACCTATAGTGGTGACAATGGAGGCAGCGAAGATGGCAGAACTCCCCCAGTCCCACGGACTGCGATCCTTGTCCCCGGAGATCGCCACGCCTTGCCCGGCAGCCTCTGATACTACCTTTAGAAAGTTAACACAATCAATCAGTCCCAGAAAAAAAAACATAAATCTAATACTTCTGCTACTACTTTACTTATTTATTTGTAACCGAATAACTGGAAATATTTACAACTCCTCAAAGTCTTAACTAAAGGCTCAGGCTACCGACGGGCACGCGTTGTGCCAGCCTTTATGTTTTTGTTCTGTCCTTGATGTTGCATGGCTGCTCCACACCCAGCGCACACATCAGTGTTTTGTTTGAAGTTTCACAACTTTTCTGTGCTGTTAAATAAGAGGATTTTCACTTCCCCCGCTCCCTCTGAGAATGTTTAGCTTGATAGTTACTCTTTACACGTTTGCATTTCTGTTCAAAATCACGTAAAACTGGTTTGATACATCCGGACATGTGGAGGCAATGACATTTTCCTTTCCTTTCTAATGTCCACGCTGGAATGTAAGATAAGCAATACAGTATGTAACGAAATGAAGCCTCTGTAAACAAAAGCTCGACTTGTTACCTTTACATAGAGATGGGTTCATCATACCTTCAGTATCTCAGTCAGATTCTCTTTAGTCAAGTTAAATTTCTTCAGAATGTCTTCCTTTTCTTTGACATAGAGGTCTCTGGCTGATTTCCAGTTTTCTTCTTCAAAAATTTGGAATATCGCGCCTCCAATCGACAGATAAAAAATTATACACGAAGTTAAAAGCGGACCTTTATCAGCCATATTAAAGTCATAACTTCAGTCCGAGCACGCTGACTAAGTCACATTCCCGCAGAGGGCTGTCCTAATCCTACCTGGCCTTTTCCTGGTTAACATAATGGGTTCACAGCTGGGATGGAATTAAACTCAGAACAAATAAAAAACAAAACATATACATGTAAAAAATATATGTACGTGTCTTCTAATTAGATCAAGTATAGAAAGTCTTAAAAAAACAAAACAACAACTTAAAAAACCCAAAACAATCGATCCTGAGTTACTTCTGTTTATAACAAGAAGCACTACGACAGTACACACCTCCGCCGCTCACTCTATGGGCAGGATCAACTTTTAAGGGAATAGTACTGTTTTGTTTCTTGTTGTATGCATTCATTTTGTTTTCTCTGTTCTTTTTAAACGCACTTAAATGTACTTGACATAATTTTGAGTGTAATTAGTTTTTTATGCGAATATAGTACATGTGCATAGTGCGTCTGATTGTGTAGTGATTTTTTTTAGATGTTTAGTAAATATAAAATGAAAAAAGTTTTTGATCACAAATTTATTAGGGGTTGGTCATAATCAGTTAATGTGATATTATAGGTTACGTTCTGTATAATGATAATACACACACCACTTTTATAAGAATCATAGCTTCTAAGCTGTTAGGCTTTCTTAAAAAATGTGTTTATTTTTGTTGCTTTCTCTTTATTTTTTGACCAATAGATCTTTAAGTTGATCTTGTAGACCTTGCTGAGTGTACGTCAAATTTTAATAGATTGTTAAATTGACCTCCCTCTTTATCACCACAAGGTTTTTCTTTCATTTTTTTTAATCAGAATTAATTCAAAACATATAATAATAATAGATTGGATTTATATAGCGCTTTTCAAGGCACCCAAAGCGCTTTACAATACGACTATTCATTCATGCTCACATTCACACACTGGTGGAGGGAGCTACAGTTGTAGCCACAGCTGCCCTGGGGCAGACTGACAGAAGCGAGGCTGCCATATCGCGCCATCGGCCCCTCTGGCCAACACCAGCAGGCAAGTAGGGTAAAGTGTCTTGCCCAGGGACACAACGACCAGGACAGAGAGCCCGGGGATCGAACCGGCGACCTTCCGGTTACAGATGCGATTCCCAACCCCCTGAGCCACGGTCGCCCTTTATATCGAGCTATGGTGTTGACAGATTGAACGACACGCGCGCAAATAATACCAAAATCATAACCTTCTTGTGGGGGAAGTAATAGCTAAAGTGGAGAACTAAAACAAAATTATATTATCTAACATCTTCCGCTTTAATGAAAACGTTCAGCAGGGGGCAACATGACTTCATTAACGCCGTTCCACAGTGTGTTTAGGGAAACGGTCGCTCTTATCTTGTGCAGGAGTTAAATGTTTCCACACTGGGCGGATCCTGGCTGCTTTGTGTGATAATAAGGGTTGAAATATTTGCATTTGAAAACTAAATAGAATTTCAAGTTTCCTTAAATTTATAGATTACAAAAATCGAATCTGAATTCAAGCTTCTTTTTTAATGTTTAAAGTCGTTTGAAGTGAATGTTCCACTCCACATCACTGGAGTAAATCTATAAGGGTATGTTATAATATCCTGCTGGGACAGAGCCAGCATAGACCTCTGGGCTTTAGGTAACGCGGCGACAGATGCTCCAGCTGCATCAGCTGTTAGATTGAGGTCTATTGCACCTTTTGGGATTTCACTCTGCATTTTAAAGAAGACATCCCAGGTCATCAAAGGGCGCTGTCTATTTGTGAGGGCTGATTTAGTACTCTGTGCATTCACTTACTCTAGGGGACCAATGCAAACCCATGACAGGCCGTGACAAGAGGGAGCCATTTATTTATTTATTTGTGTATTTTTTAGAGGACACACGATAACACATGAGATCAGAGGGACAAATCATGCAGTAACACGACTTTTATTAACTCCTGATACATATACAGGAACACGTCTCAGTAAATATAAAAGTTCCTTGGTGACTGTAAATACCACCATTACCTGCACTCTCACACATGCATGCACAACAGCGCCTCTGTGTGGAGCCAGCTGTAAAATAAAAACAAAACACACACAGACACAAATAGCTCTAGTGACTTATGATATCACATTGAAAGTTTCCAACAGTTTACTAGAAGAAGCTGTTCAGGTACTCAGGCCCTAAAGTTGTCATATAGTTGGCAGAGCAGCCCCGAGTCAGTCCCCTCAGCAGGGCCGCTTACACTCATCTGTAAAGACAGGCTCAAACAAAAATGTCTTTGCGTGTGAGAAAAAAGATCTTTGCTTTACAGACTGTGTGAGAACTAAATAAGAACCCCATGAGGATTTTGAGCAAAGCTCCCACCTCTGATCTCCACCCATCACCAGTACTTAGTGCTTCGTCATTGTGGCTGCGTCACCGCCTCCCTGTGGAAACCCCATCGATACTTTCCAACTAGCCTTGAAGGTAAACACCGGAATTATGGCAGCAAGCTGAAGGTGGAGAAGACGCACAGAGGAGACTGCTACGTGTTCAGGTATGACCCGCAGTCTTAGACACTGCTTGTGTTTAGGTTGCACACCTTTTTTTCACCTGCAGGAGCTTTTCTCCACGGCGTGTTTTCTTCACGGCGGTGGTTCGTGAAGAGTTCACTGCAACGCATTTAGAAGGATTATGCGAGGTCAGGAGTATTTGTGGTAAGGAAAACAAAAAGATAAGTAGAACTGCTGACCTACTGCAGTAATATGACTTCATAACAAGAAAGAAAAATGCCCACAAATGAATGCAGAGGTGTGTCGTTAGGCTGCTCCCAGTACCTCAAAGCTCCCGGGCCCTAAATACTTTACATACTTAGCATAATAGGAAGAATGCAGGTAGCAGCAGTGGTGTAGTAACTGTGTAAAAACTCAACGCCTGTTTGTTAATGTGGAGAAAAAGAAGCCGAGAAAGAAAACATTTGGTGATGTAATTACTTTGAGCGGACAGCTGATAAGTCACCTATAACCAGGCCCATTCCCCTTCCTTTCATGTGCTTCAAATGATGCTAGCACTGCATGCTACTTCTTAACAGGCAGTGCCATTTATTAATATCATGTATAATATTATTGTCTACCTCAGCTTTTAAACTAAATCCTTAAAATCTGTACTGTTTAAACAGAAAAGTGTTTTTTTTATTGATGCACTTTTGTCCCCCTCTCCCTCTTTCTGTCTTGACCTGGTCACTCCATCTGCGACTGCGCATGCATTATGAAATGACCTTCTACGTGGATATAATGTGAGTATTATCCCATTTAATTTGAATGAAAGGCATTCGTGCTGTGCTTTGTGAGTGCGCTGCTGAAGCCCTACAATGATTTTTATTTTTACCCTGTCATGTGCACCAGTGATGTCCTCCTAATGCACCTGAATGCAATTCATAGTTAATGCAGAGTGTTTGTATAATTAAATAGCTGCACAGATGCTTTTCACTTATATTGAGGAAGCATTTCCCTAAAGACGTAGCTCATCAAGCTTTAGAGAGATGATTAAATATTCATTTATTCATTATTTCTATTTTAAACCATTCACTTTGGGTTCAGACTTCAGACTCTATCAGTATTTTTTGGGGTAGTGGATGTGAGGGAAGAGTCAGCTCTGGCACTTTCTTTCTATCTGGGAAAAATAAAATTTGGGGGTTAAAAAAATGTTTTAGAATTGAGAAGATTGCTTTTGTTAAGGCTTTGATCTGAAAAGGCTATAGTGTACTTCCTGTCAAAAATTATGCCACATAGTTTTTGTTTTACTGCTGGTTACTCGAAGCCTAGTTAAATTTTGGGAGGAGTTGTTTAATGGTGTCACCCTGAGGTATCTGGACGCAAACAGGTCTTTATCTCTCATGAACACCCGCTCCCAGCATGCATTACACCTCTAGAATTGGCGGTGATCCTCTCTTACTCATCTGATATAATTTACGCTGAACTGCTTGGACTAGCTGATCTTCCGCCTCAGTGTCTTTTTTTGTTTTTGTTTTGTTTGTTACTAGACTCAAAATATGACTTACACATGGATAAAAGTGAATAATGGAAAGATGATTTTAGTGAAAGGTTTACTCTGGTTTATGATACAAAGATGAGACTGGTTTTACCATCACACTGTTACTGAAATTAAAAGCTTCCATTCTGGGAGTTTACATGCAAAACTACATTGAAGTCAACCACCAGGTGGCAGTGCAAACTAACCCAACACACCTTTGTACAGTAGCTTCAGCAGATCACATCTATCCTTCGTTGGCTGAGAACACATTTTTGCCACAATTTGTTCAATGTTCAAACCGGCCATTAAAATCAGATGACATCCAAACACATGTATGTAAGCATGTTGCTTCCAATCTGACTTCCTCAACAGTATCTTTATTAGAATTTTCTCTTTTTTTTCTCCTTATGAAAGGAGATTGATTGTTATACTGCATTGATTAGCAGTATAACATGATTGAAGCAAAAAAAAAGAAGACATTTTTAACTCTTGTTTTTATAGTTAAGATTAAAATAAACAAGTAAATACATTCAAAGTGAAAATTGCACCACAGAGGGGCAGAAGGATAGAGCATCACTACAAAGTGGAGTGCAGAGCACAACAATCGTTTTACCTTCATTAATAATAAATTGATCATTTAAATTCACTCTCGTTCAGCTGTTTTCCTGCTCTGTACCTTTCATAGCGTAATTTATTGTCCTTAAAGTGCAAGAGAGTCAAATGTGTCCTAGTAGAATAAGAAGGGGCAACTTGTCCGTGGGAAGGAAAGGGCAGACGCATGGAACATTCCCGCTTCATAAATTCTTCATAACATAATGGTGCAAAATTAATATTGATGTACTCTTACCATCTATCACGTTAGTGCTTTTGAGAGCTCAGTTTCTGAGCTAAAAAAACAACAGAGAAAACCTCCTGCAACTGTGCCTCTCTCAGATGCACTCCAACTTCACATTTTAAAGCATTTTTTTAAGCTGCACATATTGTTTTACATAAGATGTAAATGGAAGGGTACAGGGCGTG